AGTTATAGATGGTAAGATTGTCAGGAAACAGGACACAAGTGTTTCCTGACACTGGTCTTAGTTTATGTTGGTATGTTTGGGCAGGAAACGGACAAGTGTTTCCTGACGCTGGTCTTTGATATAGATGGTAAATTGGTCATGAAAGGACACAATGTTTTCGTGACACTGGTCTTAGTTATATGATGGTAAGATTGGTAGAACGGGACACAAGTGTTTCCTGCTTTGGTCTTAGTTATGTGATGGTAAGTTTGGTCAGGAAACAGTAAAACGTTTCCTGACACTGGTCTTAGTTATATGATGGTAAGATTGGTCAGGAAACAGGACACAAGTGTTTCCTGACACTGGTCTTAGTTATATGATGGTAAGATTGGTCAGGAAACAGTACAAGTGTTTCCGACTCTGGTCTTAGTTTTTATGAGGGTTTAGTTTGGGCCCATGAAACAGACACAAGTGTTTCCCTGACACTGGTCTTAGTTATATGATGGTAAGATTGGTCAGGAAACAGGACACAAGTGTTTCCTGACTTTGGTCTTAGTTATGTGATGGTAAGATTGGTCAGGAAACAGTACAAGTGTTTTTAGACGCTGGTCTTAGTTATATGATGGTAAGATTGGTCAGGAAACAGGACACAAGTGTTTCCTGACACTGGAAACATTACAAGTGTTTTCAGTCGTTGGTCTTAGTTATATGATGGTAAGATTGGTCAGGAAACAGGACAAGTGTTTCCTGACGCTGGTCTTAGTTATTTGATGGTAAGATTGGTCAGGAAACAGTACAAGTGTTTCCTGACACTGGTCTTAGTTATATGATGGTAAGATGGTCGGGAAAAAGGACAAGTGTTTCCTGACACGGTCTTAGTTATATGATGGTAAGATTGGTCAGGAAACAGTACAAGTGTTTCCTGACACTGGTCTTAGTTATATGATGGTAAGATTGGTCAGGAAACAGTACAAGTGTTTCCTGACGCTGGTCTTAGTTATATGATGGTAAGATTGGTCAGGAAACAGGACACAAGTGTTTTCTGACGCTGGTCTTAGTTATATGATGACCCGTCACTGGAGCTTTTGGTAATATGACCGAGGCCTTCCACTGGCTTACCACTCAAACATTTTTAAAATTATGGTTGCTATTATTATTGTGTGCGCAGCATGTTCACAAAATTTCTTATATAAATGGACAGGCGGCGTCACCAGTGGAAAATAACCCACCTGTGAAAGCAGGTCATGGATGCAGCTTAGGCAAGGTTGGGAAGATTTCACTGGTATCTTCTTCCTTTCACATTTATCCTCCGACCACTTATTTCCTACTTCTCTGTCGTGATCGTTCCTGCCCTTTCTTCTTCTCAAACCCAACCCACCTCACCACAACTCTCCTGCTGTTATGTGTGATAATTTTCGTAAATGTATTTTCGTGTACCTGAATAAATTTACCTACTTACTGCTGCTACTACTACTACTAGTACTACTACTAGTACTATTGCTGCTGCTACTACTAGTACTATTGCTGCTACTACTACCATTACTACTAGTAGTAGTAGTAGTAGTGCTACGACTACTGCACTACTTCTTTAGTACAACTACTACCACCACTACTATTACTACTTCTACTACTACTACTACTACCGACTACTACTACTATTACTACTACTACAAGTACTACTATTACTACCACTGCAATTACTACTAGTACTACTAGTAGAACTACTACTGCTACTACTACTATTACTACTACTACTAGTACTACTACTACTACTGCTAACTCCTGCCACTATATATACTCGTTGTCTTAGTAATCTGTGTATCAGGACTGAAGAAGTCACTCGTTACGAAACGTTGCCTTTAATAAATGTCCTGAACTCTGATGATGATAAATTAGACACATGTACAAGAGTTGCACATGTGTCTAATTTATCAACATGTCGGTTCTATGAACCATTCATCTACAGTCCTGAACTCTACACAAACGCCTTTACCTGTTTATTTAATCACCTCCCGAGGTAAAAAATATAAATAACGTGGGACAGTGCTGCGGTTTGCAGCAGAATCACATTACGAGAAACCAGAACAGTTTAAAACAGCCTTCTGTTACAAACAGATCACATTAATGAGGATAAATGGTATGAAATATCGAAAGGATGGATACAAACAGATGTAGTGTACTGTGATCCTTTACTGACAACGTTTCGCCCCATACTGGACGTTATCTCTGCAAACCTTTATTTCTCCAGTATTTGGAGTTTCTGAGAGCTGGTAATTACTAAGTACCAGGACCTTGAGCTTTGCTGTTAGGAAATCTTTGAAGCTATCGTACTTAGTTATACTTTAGTGGAATTCTTGACGATATCCTCATTTGCATTACTGAAGTCTCTTAGATCAGACTGGCAGATTTCAACACTGTGTCTGTAACTTATCGTAAGTGATGGAATATGACAGGGAATCTTAGCTAGGTTTTGGAAGTAAGTGGTATAAAATATCGACACAGTGGAAATATAAACACATATGCAGTATAATGTGATCCTTTATTGACGACGTTTCGCCCACACAGTGGACTTTATCAAGTCACAAAAAGATCTAGCTGGGGTGGAAGGCAGCATTCTCAAACCTGACTTCACCCTATAAATACTCACGTACCTTCCACCCACGTAGATCTGTCTGTGACTTAATAAAGTCCACTGTGTGGGCGAAACGTTGTCAATAAAGGATCACATTATACTGCATATGTGTTTATGTGGAAAAAGACACTTATGTACAGTTCAGGACAGTTATTAAAGGAAACGTTTCGCCACGAGTGGCTTCTTCAGTCCTAATACAGAGAAAACTAAGAAAACACATATATATATAGTGGCGGGAGTCAGGTGAGGTGATGCGTGGGTAGAGGTGGTAGTAGTAGTAGTAGTAGTAGTAGTAGTAGTAGTAGTAATGGAACTAAGGAGGTGAGGCAAGAGAGGGACCTGCTGGCATCAAGTAACACCAGTTTCCAGGATGGGTAATATCCTCTTGCTTAGTAATTTTGAAATACTGTAACTACCGGATTTTTGCTTTATAGTGTTACTGACAAAAAATTAGTGCAGCTTCAATGCATTTTCTCCGTTTTAAAGTCGTCTTCTTTAATAACTAGTTTAGCTTCACTAAATTTTTCATAAAGGTGTCCAACTCGTCTCTATGTTGAACACATGCGTTTTTGCGGTCATCATTTCTGCAAGCATTTTTGTGTTTGCTATCCTAAGTCCAGAGTTCTGGCTGTTTTCCCTACATGTACTTTGTCACACCCCCCCATGGTATAGTGTAGTTCTGCACTTGTGCCAGAATCATGCTTGGGTTTTTGTATCAGGTTCCTAATAGTAGTTGAAGAGCTGGTAGATATTTTAGCCAGTTTTTCTGTCAAACATTTTTGAAACATTAGTGGCAACGTTGCTGACCGGTAAAACGATGTAACTTGGAGGCTTTTCTTCAATTTGATAGGTGTTGGTCTTGCTGAGGATACGTGTTGCACGTTTCCTGCAGTCACGTATGAAGTGTAGGGGATGATATTTTGGTCATTGTACCCAAAAATCTTGACGTACAGGGCATCCTCAACACCATCAACACTCTGGAACCTACTGTTAAATTTACTCTAGAGGAGGAGAAGGACAACCAGTTACCTTTTCTCGACGTTCTCTTACGCACAGGGGAAAACAAACTTTCTTTTAAAGTCTACCGGAAGCCTACCTACAAAGAATGATCTTCTACATTTTTTCTCTCACCATGACACAAGAACTAAAAGAGGGGTAGTTATTGGCTTCTTTCTGAGAGCCTACAGAATTTCCAGTCCGCAGTTCCTCGAAGAAGAATGTACATACATCACCAACTCTTTTAGTTCACTACACTTTCCCCTACATTCATACGTGACCGCAGGAAACGTGCAAAACGTATTCCTCAGCAAGACCAACACCTATCAAATGAAGAAAAGCCTCCAAGTTACATCGTTTTACCGGTCAGCAACGTTGCCCACTAATGTTTCAAAAATGTTTGACAGAAAACTGGCTATAAATATCTACCAGCTCTTCAACTACTATTAGGAACCTGATACAAAAACCCAAGCATGATTCTGGCACAAGTGCAGGAATCTACACTATACCATGTGGGGGGTGTGACAAAGTATATGTAGGGGAAACAGCCAGAACTCTGGACATTAGGATAGCAGAACACAAAAATGCTTGCAGAAATGATGACCGCAAAATACGCATGTGTTCAACATAGAGACGATGTTGGACACCTCATGAAATTCAGTGAAGCTAAACTAGTTATTAAAGAAGACGACTTAAGACGGGAGAAAATGCATTGAAGCTGCACTAATTTCTGTCAGTAACACTATAAAGCAAAAATCCGGTAGTTACAGTATTTCAAAATTACTAAGCAAGAGGATATTACCCATCCTGGAAACTGGTGTTACTTGATGCCAGCAGGTCCCTCTCTTGCCTCACCTCCTTAGTTCCATTACTACTACTACTACTACTACTACTACTACTACTACTACTACTACTACCACCTCTACCCACGCATCACATCACCTGACTCCCGCCACTATATATATGTGTGTTTTCTTAGTTTTCTCTGTATTAGGACTGAAGAAGCCACTCGTGGCGAAACGTTTCCTTTAATAAATGTCCTGAACTGTACATAAGTGTCTTTTTCCACATCTTGTCGGTATCACCATACCATTTCCTCATATGTGTTTATATTTCCATAGCTAGCTTTTGTTTCCAGTATGAAATTACAGCGACACACTGTAGGTATTTCCGCTCTGTAACTATCGTATAGCAAAGATAACAGCACACTGCCGATATATCAAATTTTTCTGGGAATACCTATTCATTGCTCTCTCTTTCTGCGCTGTCTTCCAGTTTCTTGCTTCCTTCTTCATTTATTGTTCCATTTCCATCTATGTCTTGTCTCAACCACCTTCGTTCTTTTTACATAGTCGTTCATGTGGCATGTAAACAAGTTATCTGTCTCCCACAGGCTGCGAGAACGTTTGGGTAGGGACACAGTCTCCCCTGGGAGACACGACTGTCCCTGGGACCCACCAGAGGGACGCCGGAGTCCCTGATGCACCAGATAACGGAAATAGAGAGGTCAGGGGAGGGACGCTGGAGGCTGCCGCGTTCACAATCAAAGAACGACCTCTTGACACAGCGAATTCTTATGTTGACGTCAATGTTACATTACACCACCAGGGTAAGAAACACTCACCTGTTTATATCTACCTGTTTATGGTCTCAAAAACCTGCACTTTGAGGAGGATCTTATGGCAACGTTTCGGTCCATCCTGGACCATTGTCTTCGACCGAAACGTCGTTATAAGCTTCATCTCCTAAGTGCTTTAGTGAACTGTTCCATCCACAATACTGTGACTTTATTTTTAATGTTTGGGGTTGTTGGGGTTGAGTCACAGCTCCTGGCTCACCCTTTTTGTACCAGATCCCAGCCCTTTAATGTATTCCGTCTGTCATATCAAGTCATTTAAGTATATTGTACGTTGATAATGATAATGATAATGATAATGATAATGATAATGAACACATTATTATCACTAATGATAATAATAACGTATACAATATTGAGTGACTTTGTTGATAAATAAGACACTTGTGCAACATCTGAGTGACTTTGTTGATAAGACACTTTTGCAACATCTGAGTGACTTTGTTGATAAGACACTTTTGCAACATCTGAGTGACTTTGTTGATAAGACACTTTTGCAACATCTGAGTGACTTTGTTGATAAATAAGACACTTGTGCAACATCTGAGTGACTTTGTTGATAAGACACTTTTGCAACATCTGAGTGACTTTGTTGATAAGTAAGACACTTGTGCAACATCTGAGTGACTTTGTTGATAAGTAAGACACTTGTGCAACATCTGAGTGACTTTGTTGATAAGTAAGACACTTGTGCAACATCTGAGTGACTTTGTTGATAAGACACTTTTGCAACATCTGAGTGACTTTGTTGATAAGACACTTGTGCAACATCTGAGTGACTTTGTTGATAAGTAAGACACTTGTGTAACATCTGAGTGACTTTGTTGATAAGACACTTGTGCAACATCTGAGTGACTTTGTTGATAAGTAAGACACTTGTGCAACATCTGAGTGACTTTGTTGATAAGTAAGACACTTGTGCAACATCTGAGTGACTTTGTTGATAAGACACTTTTGCAACATCTGAGTGACTTTGTTGATAAGTAAGACACTTGTGCAACATTTGGATATCTATATTCTGGAAAGATTTCCAGAATAGATACCAAAATATTGCACAAGGGTCTGATTGATCAGTAATATTGTGTATATCGATTAAGCCTTGATAGTTTCTCCAGAGTTGAGGTTGAGGTTGACTAGTAAGAGTCTACATAAAAGGAGAGAGAGTAGAATGGGAAGCCGTTGTACGTAATGTTTAGAGGAAGACACAGAGGGAAAGTATAATTGATTGGTTCGCCAGGAACTGCGTCTTAACACGGGTCTTAATCCTAAGATGGTCTATTTGAGGATCTTCAAGATGTGTTCACGTATCTGAGGTTGACAGTTACGACGTCTTCACCTGTGGATTAAATGTCTATTTAATTCAGCTGTTCTGTAGCGGTGATCAGTGTCTTGCTGTAGTCCTTATAGAGCTGAGGTCATATGGCCTCCCATTATTGTCTCTGAGCTCTGTGTTTCTGAGCTCAGAATGGTCGGGTAAATATAGACAACGGAGATGAAAAAAACCCATAATCATTGCAGTAGGCTAACTGGTCCATGATGTTTGCGACGGCATCATCATCATCATCATCATCATCATCATCATCATTATTAACAGTAGTTAAGGCAACTCATTTATTGTTTTGAGAACTCTTGCCAATACATCAGAGATGAACATTATCTTACATGCATTTCTTCTTTCACCATGACAGCCTCAGTTTAATTAAGAGGAGTCGTACAAGTTTCTCTCCCAGATCTTTCCGCTTATCTTGTTTTGGAGAAGGAGGAGGAGTATACCTACATTATTCAAGCATTTAAGATACTTTTGCTCATTTCCATTTTCATACGTATGTAGATAAAGGTCACAGGCCATTCTCAACACGACTCCCAGGAAAAGACTGCTAAGAGGTATGTGACCTACACAACCATCAAGGATGTAAGGACGCTCACTACTCACAGCTGGAGCCTACACGAGCCCGTGTGGTAACTGCGAAAAAATGTATGTAGAAGAAACAGGTAGAAGTTTGTTCACTTGCATACCAAAAAAAAAAAAAAAAAAAAATCGCCCACACAAATATAAGTACAAAGGCGACGACCCTAATAGTTTTATTCATGGTATGTAATACCGAAATGTTGATAAATAAAGCACATGTGCAACACTTGGCTAATTTTTATTGTTGAAACGTTTCGTTTGTCCAGCAGGTATTTTTATTCGAATACTGGAGATATTAGAAGTAATTGTGAGGTGACCGTCTTGGCTTTGATGATAAATAAGACACATGTGCAACAGTTAGGTATCTTTATTCCGAAACGTTTCGCCTACACAGTAGGCTTCGTCAGTCGAATACAGAGAAGGCAGTAGAAGCAGTAGAGATATAAAAACGATGTAATCAGTCCATCCTTGAAGACGTAGTTTTGAGGTGGTCAGTCCCTCAGCCTCGAGAAGGATTCTGCTCCATAGTGTGAACAACGTGAAGCTGAAGCAAGAATGTGGAGACTCGTATACTGTCAAGATGAGGGGGAGAAGATCTTGACAACAGGAGAGTTGGTCAGTCCCACAGCCTCGTCAGGGACAACATGAGTAACCCGTGTGTTGTCCACTGGAATATTAACAATTCTTTGGGCCATTGTACTGATAAAGAATTAGACACAAGTGCAACATCTTCAAGACTACGGTACTCTTCTCCAACTCCAAGACTGAGGGACTGATTACCTCATCTTTTGTATATATAGCTCTGCAGTCTTCACATTATGTCATTGTACTGATACAGTCACTGGATGTCCAGTTGTCGACTAATGGAGCCGCAAGTTTCTAGCAGTATCACCCTAGCAGTCTACACTAATTATTCTCGACAAAGTGTAACTTACAAACCATACCCCGGGCGGGACTGAACCCGCGCTCAGAGAGTCTCAAAACTCCAGCCCGTCTCTGACCCCCCGGGTTCAATCCCGGCCGGGGTATGGTTTGTTTGCAATCGTGTCATTACTATTTCGTGAGTCATGTTACTTGCACTCTGTATCTCTACAACAAACTTTATTTATTCAATAGGTATATTGTTTTCAACAAAGTCTTCTGCCCTGCATTTTCTGACGTTATTTTCCTGAACACTGAGACAGATGGAGGTGTTGTCTTTGCCTGACGTGATGTTATCTAACCAATTAACTGTATCTTACACGCAGATAAATGGTTCAGAGAACCGAGAGGTTGATAAATTAGACACATGTGCAACACTTTGGTATCTTTATATTGGAAACGTTTCGCCAGCCATTGACTTCATCAGTCCATACAAAGAATGATGGATTGATTACATCGACTCAAGGCTGAGGGACTGATTACCTCAAACTCCTTCTGTCCTTCACTATTTTCTTTTGTATGGACTGATGAAGGCACTGCCTGGCAAAACGTTACAACAGTAAAGATACCCAAGTGTTGCACATGTGTTTAATTTGTATCTTCCATACAAGCTTTCGGACTACACATTCTGTCTCGTCTTCCAGTCACTGTTACAGAATGCGTCTTCTATGGATCCAATTTGCACGTCTCCAACAGCGAGTATATTCTTATCTTCGATACTAGAGGTGCTTGACCACTGTACATTCTTCCTGGAATACATCAATTTCCATTCTTCAACTCGTTCTCAAATCTCTTTCTCACTAACCAATTTCCATTCTTCAACTCGTTCTCAAATCTCTTTCCCACTAACCAATTTCCACTAATCACTCGTAATATTTTTCCCTCTGATTACACTCTTATTTTTGACACTGTCAATTCCTTCACACTTATTATTACACATTCCTCCTTAGTAAATTCCAATTATAGGCCTAAAACATGATAGTCCTCCAAATTTGTTTAAACAAATTATATTAGCTAAGGAGAGTTTAGTTGAAGACTCGTGGCTGTCTTCAAGAGGGAACCGAATAGATTCCTGATTAGCCAGGCTGTGGTTCTTACTTTGGGCTGAGTGATCTGGCCATCCACTAGGAGGCCTGGTTCATGACCAGGCCTAGCGGGGGTGTTGACCCCCGGAGCACTCTCCAGGTATACTCCAGGTAGACTCTCCAGGTAAGTTAGGACTCAGCCCCAGGACAAGTAACATGGTCTATATTGGCCTCAGAACTATTATTATTATTATTATTATTATTATTATTATTATTATTATTATTATTATTATTATTAATATTATTATTATTGATCAGCAGCACCGCCCTGCTTACCAGAACTTAAAGAAATATAGGTGTTGGCCAAGGTTATACACAAGTTAGCTGGGTAGCTAACCGAACCCCACGTCTGCCACTAACCCTGCCACTAACCCTGTCACTAACCCTACCACTAACCCTGCCACTAACCCTGCCACTAACCCTGTCACTAACCCTGTCACTAACCCTGCCACTAACCCTGTCACTAACCCTGTCACTAACCCTGTCACTAACCCTACCACTAACCCTACCACTAACCCTGTCACTAACCCTGTCACTAACCCTGCCACTAACCCTGCCACTAACCCTGCCACTAACCCTGTCACTAACCCTGCCACTAACCCTGCCACTAACCCTGCCACTAACCCTGCCACTAACCTGTCACTAACCCTGTCACTAACCCTACCACTAACCCTACCACTAACCCTGTCACTAACCCTGTCACTAACCCTGCCACTAACCCTGCCACTAACCCTGCCACTAACCCTGCCACTAACCCTGCCACTAACCCTGCCACTAACCCTGTCACTAACCCTGCCACTAACCCTGCCACTAACCCTACCACTAACCCTGTCACTAACCCTGTCACTAACCCTACCACTAACCCTACCACTAACCCTGTCACTAACCCTGTCACTAACCCTGCCACTAACCCTGCCACTAACCCTGCCACTAACCCTGTCACTAACCCTGCCACTAACCCTGCCACTAACCCTACCACTAACCCTGCCACTAACCCTGTCACTAACCCTGCCACTAACCCTGCCACTAACCCTACCACTAATCCTGCCACTAACCCT